ACCATCATATACACACTCACACTCTCACCACGCACACACATCATATCATCATATACACACTCACTCACTCATCACGACACACGTCATAACAACATACACACACACTCTCACTCATCACGCACACACGTCAGAACAACATATACACACACTTACTCATCACGCACACACGTCATGGCAACATATACACACACACACGTCCATCTATGTACACTGTTGACGTTGGCGTGACTGGGTTCCTCAGGCAAAAGAAGGGATGAACATGGTGTCGTATAAGATCAAGGATAAGAACGGTGACGGGTACTGTGGCATTGCTGTATCCGCACGGGAGGCTGCACGTCTGGCTATACTTGTGCCCAGGGCCAAGTACTACACCTGGTTCCATCCCGAGGACTTCTTCTCGGCCACGGAATACAGTGGGAGGTAGGTAGAAGTTGATTAGCAGATACAGTATGTCTGTATTATACAGTACATCTAGGTGTGTTGGTACCAAGAGGCAAGTATTAGGCCTGGTTTTATCCCGAGGGCTTCTTCTCGACCACAGAGTACAGTGGGAGGTAGGTAGATGTCCTGTACATCTATAAATAGATTAGTAGATGTTGTATATCTCTCGCTAATATGCCTGAACCGAGGAATAGCAACTGCCAATGCACCTTACGGCATTTTATAAATAGATTAGTAGATGTTGTATATCTCTCGCTAATATGCCTGAACCGGGGAATAGCAACTGCCAGTGCACCTTACGGCATTTTATAAATAGTATTAATTATATGCATATTTATACCAAGACCTTTAAAGCAGGGTACTGGTATATGCATGAATCAAGTAGTACTAGTTATATGGATATCTATGGCGTGTCATATGGAGTGTATGTATGAAACATGTAGAATTCCGATTATTAGTTATATCTTTACCATTACAATGGGTTTACGTATGTCACAAGTAATGCTTAAACCAATTGGTACCTGTGGCAGTTTTACGTAGGGCCTTTGCATGAAACAATCAGTGCGAACTAACTCCACTGGTATTAAAGTCATTTATAACTCAACTGGTATAAATGTCATTTATAACTCCACTGGTATATACGGCATTTATAACTCCACTGGTATCTATGGCATTTATAGCTCCACTGATCTATGGCATTTATAACCACTGATATCTATGGCATTTATAACTCTACTCGCAACTGTAACATTTTTAACTCCACCGGTGTCTGTGGCATTTCCAAATAGGGTGTATGCATGGACAGAGGAGAGGGCTCAGGAGGCAGGTCGTGCGGATCCCAAGAAATGGATACCACAGAGCAGTGTGACAAGTGGGACCATGTGGTTACTGGACGAGGAGTAAGTACACTGTATATCTGTACTTATTCCTGCCCATATATACGCATATACACATATGCACATATACACAAGTACACACTATGTTACATATGGCTATATATATATATATATATATATAACCAGTGGATTGTATATTCAACCAGAGGTTTATATATAGCCGGTTGCTAATATTGCACACGGATTAGTATGTGCATTCGAAGTTCGATACCACAGAGCAGTTTGACCAGTGAGATCATTTGGTGGGTGGGCCAGGAGTAAGTGCATTTTACATTTATGCATGTTCTCTGTAAAAATACCCGGATGGACATGTTTAGTGAATTACCTAAGTGTGTGTGATATATATGACATTTGTATTTTTGTGATATATATGATGTTTGTATTTTTGTGATATATATGATGTTTGTATTTTGATGATGTATATGATGTTTGTATTTTGCCTACAACCACTGATAGTAAACAAGTGATACTGACCACTACCAACGCTTTCCCAACACTCTGCCCCGCACTCAGAGCTGAGCGGTTGCGGTTAAATCCTGTAGAGAGTATAGCTCATCTGGACGCCAATGGCGACTCTAACTCGACTGAGAGCTCAACCAACACACCAGACCACGTGGGTGGGGAAACTCGGTCAAGCGATGCAAGTGATAGGCTTTTAGAAAAACAATCTCGAGATTCTGTGAGCAGTACTGATACTATAGAGCTGGCTAGCACACTTAGGGTTAGTACGGCGAGTGAGAGTACTGTTGAGGGTGCGGTTGCCCCGGAAGATGGGGTCAAAAACAGTAAAACTGCAGAAAAAGGGGTACAGGATATGAGTGGTGAGAGTGGTGCACATACGACTGCAGAGGTGGAGCAGTGTTGCGGTAGGATAGACGACTCGTGAAACGCAATATGTAATTCAGGTGAATATATAAATAGTATCGTATAAATATATATATATATATTCTTGAGATATGATATTTATGTATTCAGACAAAACACAAACATATATAGGTACGAACATGCCTGTGTATAAATACTAATACATACATATATGTATATGTATATATATATATATATATATATATATATATTGTATCACGTAATCGACGCCTCTTTATCTAGAACATTTATTTTAATTGAAGATCGATAAGGTAGAAAGCCCACTGGCGCTGGCCAAGAAATATTTACGACCCTCAAAGTCCGACATATCTGTGGCGTCAATTTCTGAAAACACGCGGGCAGTCCACCTAAATCCTAAACGCTACAGCTCCCACCCAACCTCGACATGCGCACCCGTTTCAAACTCGGTGTAGGCGGACGGACCGCACTACTTATCACCGGCCCCTTCAGACCAGCCTGTGATTCCTTCAGACCAGCCTGTGATTCCTTCAGACCACCCTGTGATTGGTGCATAGTACCACTTCAGGCTATTTTTTTTTCAGCCCCAAACTCCTCAGAGTGGGCGAACGCCAAGCTTTGCTAAACACCATGACAGTGTGCCGAGCCATTTCCGGACACACCGGATCATAGTACGCCCGGACTACGTTTGGTTCCATGACAGACGCTCAGAGCCAAGGTTCGTGTATAGTACCTAGCTGTCATTAGAAACCACCATAATAAGACCATTCTATAGAGGAGACGATAGGGCTTGGCTTGTCTTGATCTTGAACTTGAGAAAATTAACAAAATTAACACGGTTATGTACACAGTATGTCTACACTCAATGTTAGTGTGATGATGGGGACACTTGCCTCTATGAGCCCAAATGTGCAGTGTATGCTTCTAGTAGTAAACAGCCTTAGCTCCAGGATGTTCCCTATAGCGAAAACGACCCTCCTTTCCTACTTTGTAGTATGTGATCGATGAAGCGTACCGGCATTTCATTACTGCACCACCAGACACACGGTCCCTGTACATATGTGTTGTATGCACAATAGTCTGTACACACGGTCCCTGTGCATCTGTGTTGTATGCACACTAGTCTGTACACACGGTCCCTGTGCATCTGTGTTGTATGAACACTAGTCTGTACACACGGTCCCTGTACATCTGTGTTGTATGCACACTAGTCTGTCTCGACGGTGTCGCATCCAGTATATCACCGATCAACTATGTGAGTACGCGTGTGCTTACTAAGCGAGCTGGATTGAGTGAAAGCGCTTGTGCACCCGGGGTGGTTACAAGCATATGGACGTTCCCCTGTGTGAATGCGCATATGCCTTGCGAGATCGCCAGAGGAATTAAAAGCGCCGCTACAACCGGGATGCATACAGGCATACGGACGTTCCCCTGTGCGAATGCGCATATGCCTTGCGAGATCACTAACGGTACGAAAAGCGCTGCTACACCCGGGGTGCTTACAGGCATATGGACGTTCCCCTGTGTGAGTGCGCATATGCACTGTGAGACCACCAGTGGTACTACAAGCGACGCCACAACCGGGGTGCGTACAGGCGTACGGACGTTCCCCTGTGTGAGTGCGCATATGCCTAGTGAGATTGCTAGCGGTATTAAAAGCGCCGCTACAACCGACGTGCGTTCAGGCATACGGACGTTCCCCTGTATGAGTGCGCATGTGTATCGCCATGGCACTGGGTGATAGAGTGGTTACACTACAGCCAGGCCATACACAAGCGACCCGTGGTTTCCCCACGCTTCCAGACGTGCTGCTTAAGAACATTGTTCTGTGCTTTAGGAAGAGTAGACAAATTCGAACCATGTGATTGCATTTAATGGTCGCAATAAGAGTTGCTAAGCAAAACGGTTGTGTCTGGATATGCCAATGAAACACGTGTCAGGATACTTCGAAGAGTATATATATATATATAAATATATATATATATATATATATATATATATATATATATATATGTGTGTGTGTGTGTNTATATA